ATTATTACTAATATAATAAGTAATAATTATATTATATTACTATATATAATTGTAATATAGTTATATATATATATATATATATATATATATATATATATATATATATATATATATATACTGCTCAAAAAAATAAAGGGAACATTTCACTTTAATTTTGTGTGTGGCTCCAAATCCAGGCCTCCATTGGTTAATAAATTTGATTTCCATTGATGATTTTTGTGTGATTTTGTTGTCGGCACATTTGACTTTGTACAGAACAAAGTATTCAATGAGAATATTTCATTCATTCAGATCTAGGATGTTATTTGAGTGTTCCCTTTATTTTTTTGAGCAGTGTATATACTGTGTGCTGTTGCCCCCTGCTGGCTATAAATAGGAACTGTGACTCACCTTTGTTTTTTTTTTTCTTGTGCCTCCTACACAAACAGGGCCCCATGGGTCCCCGTGGCCCCTCCGGACCTCCTGGAAAACCCGGAGATGATGTAAGTGAAATTAATTTATTTAAAAATTATTATTATTATTATTATGGTAATAATTTGTATTTTAATAAAGTTTTTTTTTTTTTTTAATATTTTAACTATTTAATTAACTATTTAATATTTTTTTGGATGGGTTCATTAAGAACTTGTAAATTACAGTAAAATTGTCATAATAATGAGATCTTAAACAATTATTTTTTCTTGCAAGAAAAATTGTGCAATGTGTCAAAATGTGTGAACTGTACTGGTTTCCCAATTTAATGAGATAGAAGTAACAGTTATATTGCATTGTTTAATTGTTATTGCTTTGACACTTTATTTATTTAAATAAACAAAACTGTCATCTTTTTGGCATTGAGTGATTCAATATGTCTTTCTAATTAGTTGATTTAATTCTTCTTCCCTGTTTATATGTTTTTTGTTTTTTTATTTTAGTTGGGTTCACTTGTTCAAATGCCTGCTCTATGTAATACCCCTCTTTGTCCACATGATGGCAGTAGACATGACGTTTCACATTTTGTCCACTAGGAGTGCTCATAGCACTCATGTCAGCACTTGCAAAAACAAAACAAACGCATGCAGAAAGACTAAGAATGCATGTTCATGTGATTTACTTAATATGTTTCTATTTTAGGGTGAACCAGGTAAACCAGGGAAACCAGGTGACCGTGGACCCACCGGACCTCAGGTGAGTCCTTTCAGTCAGCTACTTTTTCTATAAATGTCTGATTGTGCAGGAAGCTCAAAAAAGACATTTTTAACTTGGGAGATGACACAATGTGCATTGATTATGGTAAACAAAATGAGTTAATGATACATTTAATTTTTTGACACTTTGTTACTGCTAAATCTAAGTCACAACAACTTGAACTAAATAACAACATTCAACTTGCATATAATTTTACAGAATAAAAAAAGTTTGTTGATTCAGATCTATATCAACACTGTGGTGCTTCCTGCAGATTCTCTAGGTGTAAATTGTAAAACACCTGTCTTATTTACTGATTACAAGATTCAGCACTCACTCTAGGTGAACTAACAGCCTTTCAATAAGATTAATTATGTCAAAAGGTGGGTACATGTTTTTAGTTTGAGAACAATTTTGTGTCAAAGCACAAGATGAACCCATTGTAACTTGTTAGCATTCTTTGTCTATTTTCTGCTTTGTTAAAAGCATAAAAATAATTTAAAATAAAAAGCATGGACTTTGCCTTCATTTCCTTCACTGCAGTGACCTCCTCCAATGTTCTACTTCCTTTTGTTGCACAGGGAGCTCGTGGTTTCCCAGGAACTCCTGGTCTGCCAGGCATCAAGGGACACAGAGTGAGTTTGTCACCTTACAGATTTTTCTCCCCAAACATGGAGCTAATAATTCTCAGATTATTGACTGTAGCTTCTCTGCATTATCACCTCCTCAGGGTTATCCAGGTCTTGACGGTGCAAAGGGAGAAACTGGTGCTGTTGGTGCGAAGGTGGGAATTTGTTTCCATGTTGGATCTTTGTCAAAGTTGTACTTGTTACACATTTGAAAGCCACATTGGCTATTGCATCAGTTGGTCTAACGCTGAGTATCACAGCATCACCATGCTGTTAGGAAAGAAAGAAAATAAATTCTTATTCTTTTCCACTGAATATTTCTGATAAAAAATTTTAACATTTCTTTCTTAAAGTAAGACTTTCAAGACTCTTTTATTTCAGAATAACAACAGAAAAAGACATATGTCTCTGACCAACTTCAATTCAAAATCCAATATCGCTGCGAAAGCTGCACTTCCGCTAGTTTGTATATATCTAGTTTGTATTAAATCTTTCCCATACAACCTGTATTTGTGAACATGTGCCTTCATTGGTTTAATGCATAGAGTGAAAACAGTCATTCAAGCTAAAAAACTCCTGGTCTCTGTCAGGTACAAGTCAGAGCCAAAGTGTTGATTTGAATCTGATAGATCTGTTTTGATCACTGAATTCTTGTTCAAATTTATACTCATTTTACTGTGTTTTCTAACCATTTGAAAGATCACTGTCTAATTTATTATTAGAAAGAAAGTTCTTTGTCGAATTAAAATAATCTAGAATCTAAATCTACCAAGGTTATTAATATCCTGAGCTAAATGTACATGACTATTAGGACGTGTTGTTATTCTGGTGATGGAGTAGAAAAAAATGAAAAATCCCACTGATTTTCTGACTTTATAGCCAGAACCTTGTTATGTTGAGCTTAACATTTTTTGTTCCAGGCTCACTTTCTTAAAATCCTTGCTAAATGGAGTGCAGCATAAGCAACCACTTATCCCTCTGTGTTCTCCACCAGCTTCTGCCAGTTCTCAAAATATCCTCAGCTTCACTTCCTTTTTGAGTGGTTTATATTTAAATGCAAAGATGAAAGTGCTTTAATGGCTCAGCTGTTTGGTTTTATGTTAACAATATAGATAATTCAGATGATATTAACCTTGTAAGTAGCTGATGTCCTGCACATATGTTGCACTTGAACCACAGCTTGAGAACTATAGTTATCGGGTAAACATACACTAAGGTGTTTTATAAAGTGCTGAGACATTAAACTTCTAATTTTTCCTACCTAAGGTAGTCAACAGATGACAACTAGCAATAATAAAAAAACATTTTGTTGAGTTTTATGAAATTGTCTTGCCATATTAAGAACTAAATCTTTCTTTTTTTAGGGTGAGGCCGGTGCTCCCGGTGAGAGCGGCGCTCCTGGACCCATGGTGTGTGTTTATTGGCCATACAAAAGCAGCACATAAAAAAAAAAATCACTTATTCACAGTTAATAAGAATAGTGTCTTATTTCTTTTTTTTTCTTTTTTCTTGCATAGGGACCTCGTGGTTTGCCTGGGGAGAGAGGACGTCCCGGATCCACTGGAGCTGCTGTAGGTGCAACTTTCTTCACTAAAAGCCCGCTCTGGATTTGGATTTGACACGTTGTTTTTTTGTCTTTGTTTGATCAATGAATTAAGACTGGTGAAGTGAAAATTATATACTGGAGCTTTGCTGTAACTTAGTGTGTTCTGGGCTCAGGGTGCACGTGGAAACGATGGCTTGCCTGGTCCTGCTGGTCCTCCAGTAAGTATCATTTTAAATATATTTTAACCAACTTAAAATATTTGTATTTAATAAGGAATAAGTTCAGTTTACTGTGTGAAATTTGTGTTTTTACCCCCACTTTGCTAGCTGAGAGTCTGGACTCTAACAGCTGCATGTGTCACCTGTTTTTCCTCTTGTTTTAGGGCCCTGTTGGTCCAGCTGGAGCTCCAGGCTTCCCCGGATCTCCTGGTACAAAGGTAGGCAACAAAATTACCAAATCCGGCACCAACTCAGTTCTTAACAGTTATTTTCACTAAGTTGTTGTTTAGTTTAGTTGTTTCTTTTTTCCTGTATTTTCAAATTATTTACTGCTAATTGTTTTCTGAAAGAAACATATTAACATATTTTTAATAACAAGAACAAGTTTTCTGAAAGATTCATGTATTGACTTTAGGGAACATTTTCTGAGGAATATATTGAGATTTTGAGACAGGAACAGGAGAGCTTTGCTCTGCCTCCATTTGGGTTGTAAAATAAATAAGATTTTTTTTTTTTAGTTTCCATCTTTATCTTTTGATCCCGGCACTGTATTTTTTATGTCTTTTCTCTCTATGGTTTATTCTTACATGATGGCAGAGAGACTCGACTCTCTTTTGTTTGGAAAGTCTTCTAGGAATTGTAAATAGAGGGTCTCTTTTCAAAATGTAACAGCTTCCCCTGAATTTGCCATAGCAAAGACTGGAGAGAAGTGTTTTTTATTATGTTTTATTGTGTTATGCATTTTGATGACACAAAATACTTAAAAACACATGATGTATTTTGCTTGCAGTGGATTGTGAGAAACTCTATGTGAGTTTTTGTGACTAGTCTAATGTCCCCTGATGGAAAACTGTTAAAAATATCATATTTTGTGCTTCTGCGATTCTTTGAGGAGGAGTGTTTTTGAGACCTGCTTTTTCTCTCTTTAGCATTTATTTATTACAATCTCATCTTACTGTTTCTTCTTTGCTCCTTTGAACCTTATGAGAAAAGCTTTGAACTGACTCCAACAGAGAAAAAAAGTTGGCTGCAGCACAGCTGAATAAACTGAACTCCTGAAAAGAAAAAAAGTGACAGTTTTATTTAGCTTTCTTTATTTATAGCTGACTCTCTTAAAGAGTAAATTTTTATTATTTGCTTAAAGAAAACATGGCATGACAGTATTTTGTGTAGTGCTCTCTACCTCATTTTTGTGTCAGTAAAAATGTGGACAATAGAAATAACTTTGTCAAGGTGAAAAGAAACCTGCCTGTTCAATCCAAATAGTTTTGCACAGAAGTGTTTATGTCACAGCAACATTTGTTGCTATTATTTTCATTTTACTACTAAAGGAATTCCATTCACCACCTTGAGGCTGCATACCAGCAGTAAAATGTTGGCCCTGTCTCCATAGAAAGAGAGTTCCCAGATTAACTCTTTGGAATAGAGGCCCAGGTTTTTTCAGTGCTGAATCAAAACATCTGCTATATATTATTTACTTGGGTTGGTTGAACAAACTACAGAGAGGCCTAGAAAAGTATAAATATTAGGTGTTTTGTCCATTTTAATAATATTTTAGCAATAAACTGCAATGGATTAAACTAAGCTATGTAACCTGCTATGACACAGAGATTTTTATATTAATGTTCTGATCCATAGTGATGTGAAAAACTAAGTACACCCCATGATTTAATAGTTGGGATCTTTAGACTTTGTTAGTTTCTTTTATTTCTGTGGAGAAATCTAATCTCATGAGAGAATAATTTAGTAAACAGCAAAATTAATCATCTTACTAAATGACCACTCCTCCTCCTCTCTCTGTGGCTGAAGGATGATCCCAAATCATAAACACTCCACCATACCTGACAGTAGTCATTGGGTGACTGTGCAGAATTTCTCCATACACAGCAAGTGCATTTTGACCAAACATCATTACTTTTGTCTTACAACCTAACATTTCATAGTTCAGTCAAATTCAAGTTTGCAATAATAGAAAATTCATTTTCCTGGCAATCCCTCCAAACAAACCATACATGTCCTCAGTTTTTGTAATTTTACCGTCATAAACCTTGATATTTGACTTTAGTGAGGCCTGAAGAGTGTGAGATGTTCTTAGTTTTATTCTCCTTTTTTTGCTAATTCTATGAGCGTGAATTAGCTCCTTACAACTGTTCGTTTTGCACATATGAATAATCTTTCTCTCTGTAGTATTAAAGTCTTAATTTTGTTATGTATTCCCAAAAGTTCCCATTTTTTCCACATCAATGGGCAACAATTCTCAACAAAATAAAATGATGAATGGTAAGGCAGTTACAAAAAAAGAAGAGGTGCCAGATGACTGGACAAGTACAGCAGAGGTTGTGAGGCAAAGTTGTTTGATTTGGATAGATCAGGAATGTATATGGAAGTATTTTTTATTCAGTTTCCTTCCACAATTTCTTAACAAATATTGAAAATCCAATCTTGTAGAAACACACATTCAGTTTTGTATTATTATTTTTAACATAATGTAATCACATCCTGTTGATTTTGTCACGTTTGCTGAAAAATGTTTGTCCAAGGAACTATTGCATTTCATCATTTCACAGGGTTTGTATGGCAAGCTGGACACAAAGGAATGAGAAAGGGAATTATTTTAATTGGATAAATAGTAACATTAGGTTCAAACTGAGATACTTGTGAATGAAAATAGGAACGTGCTAATTAGTGAAAGAAGTGGGCTGAGAATATGAGAGGAGTACACTGAGGAGCTAAATAATAAAAAAGAGAGTAAAGAGGACAGATGGAGGAAAGTTAGAGATTTGAAAAGTTTAGAGATTTAGTCTGGAGGAAGTGTGGGCAAACATGAAGAGGATGAAGAGATTATGGAGATGTGTTGGAGGAGGGCTGTGATCTTTTTAAACAGATGGTTTAACACAATCCTGGATGGTGAGAAGATGCTAACAGGGAACATATATCCAATTTTAGAAGAACAAAAGAGGACTGAGCTTGATGAGTTTTGTCTTTGTGGATCTAGAGAAAGCACATGCTGCACCATGAACAAATATTTTTCTCATTATAGATAAGGTCTGTTTGTGAAACAGCAGTTTCAGATACTGAGATGATGATTGGACTGAGGGACAAAAGTAATCCAAACCATGACCCTGCGTGAAAACATGCTAGTTTTTGTTTGGTTAGCCAAATATTCTGAAGAAATCTTAGATGGGTACTAGAGACTGTTCCAATTTTAACATCTGTAGAAGAAATATCTAGATCAGAGATCGGTAGCAAAGTGCGCGATCCATAAAGGCAGATCTATTAGGTCTCATTGTAAGCCTTGTGCTTTGAGCGATGTCATGCTTTATTATTTTACATTATATTTAGAATTTCTAATTTCACTTTCTGAACCATTTAAAAGAAGATTTTATGCAGTTTGTCAGTTTCAGTTTATTTATTTTATATCAGCTGTTATAGATCTAATTGCCGTGACTGTACAAAGTAAAGTTGTGTTGTTTTTGCATGTTTGACCAAGCTTGTGAAGCTATAAGTGTATTTAAGTGTGCTCTACTGGGATAGAGTTATCAAATAAATTTGTAATTCAGCAAATTTATATCTGTATTTAAAAAAAGAAATGCATCAAGTCAATTCAGCTGCTTTTCTGTATCGTCTTGTATCGGCCGGTACTAAGCCTCAGATATCAGTATCAGTATCTGAAGTGAAGAATGTGGATCGGTGCATTCATAGCGGGCACAAACAGTGGTACTGCATTAGGAATGAGGTGATTCATGATGAAGATGCAGGACTTAAAAAACGACAGTGAGAAGGTGGTTAGGTATGCTAGGAGTGATGCTTTTGTGGTGGTGATGCAAAAAGGGATCAGCTGTGTGTAACATTTTGCTTGCATTTGTGATGGGAAGGTAGACTGATGAGGTTGCACAACTCTGCTTATTCTTTGGGTAGAATGTATGGAGACGGCATTGTGGTCTATGATGAGGTTAGGGATCAAACTGAAGAGAGCCTGGAGAGGTGAAAAGATGTTCTGGAGAGAATAGGAATCATTAGAAGCAGCAGCACTATCCACTGTTCTGTGCTTTGTGCTTCAGCTCTATTCGCAGACCAGAGGACAGATCAGAGGCTTTAATAACAAATTAGCTTCGTCAGATATTATTTGAAACTGCTTGAAGAAGAGGAAGATTAGGATTAGGGTGTTTGATAAGTATGAATTTAATTAAAGCAAGCTGTGAGAGTCTTTCTAATTAGATGTACTGATAACAGCTGATGAGATCACCTGATACACTGATGCATGGACTGAGTTTCACTTTTTGGTTTGCAAGAACAAGCAGTTTCTGGTAGCCACACATTGCTGTGACTAGGGTCTCTCCAAAATCATTTTGTTCTTTCTGTTGCCATTTGAAAAAAAGATGAGACTGAGGCCATATTGCTACTCTCAGTAGCGCTTTCAGATATGGGCGACATGGGCAACTTCCCAGGGCAGCATCTTGTGGGGCAGCGGCATGAGCCACTATTTTTGTGTGTCGCAAAATTGCGGTAATTTTCTATTATTTCTGATGGCCACAAAGGTGGTTCGCCCAGGGCGCCAAATGGGCTGGGACCGCCTCTGGCTACTCTTCTTTGAAAGACAGTCGCACAAGATGAAGTTGTGTGAATGCTGTTGTACTACACCAAGCAAACACAGTCCTGCAGATGCAGAACCAGTTTCATATATATATATATATATATTTCCACAGCTCTTTAAAAAACTGAAAGATCTATCCTGCTAAATGGAGAGTGAGCTGTGGGATTTAATCCTGAGCTCACTTCCAAATCGATAAATCCTGAAATGAGCTTAAAAATGATCATAAACACTTTTAAACACACGTTTGATATATTAGGGCCAATAACTAATCATGATTGTACTTTTTTTCTTTTCTTTAATTAAACTTTTAGAACAGATGATTCAACAGATAGACCTGTCTGCTTTTTTAATAACTAATAACAATGAATGCCTGGTTTTCTGGTACATTTCAGAAATATGTTTTGTACCTTTGAAAGTTTATCAAAGTTCTGTAAAATTAAGATGATCAATTGCATGCGGTCAACACAAATTAATAAATGATTGCCCTTTTGTCTGTGTTGTATTAGGGTGAAGCTGGTCCTACTGGCGCTCGTGGTCCCGAAGGAGCCCAGGGGCCCCGTGGAGAGTCAGGCACTCCTGGATCACCTGGACCCTCTGGTGCTTCTGTAAGTGATTCCATAAACAAAAATTTGAAAATAAAAATATGTGATAAACCATATTATTAATTCAATAAACCCTGACTCCAGTCAGTTCAAGACACATTTAATTATGAAGATGATTTATTTTAGCATATTTACTTGTTTTGTCTCTTTTTCCTGCAGGGTAACCCTGGCACTGATGGTATCCCTGGAGCTAAAGGTTCAGCAGTAAGTTGTTTTTTTTTTTGCTTGTTTGTTTCTGTTGTTTTTGATCAGTCAGCCAGTCGACTTCACTTCCTTTTCTCTTTCTCTCTGTAGGGTGCTCCAGGTATCGCAGGTGCTCCTGGTTTTCCTGGACCTCGTGGGCCTCCTGGACCTCAGGGAGCAACTGGACCTCTTGGGCCAAAAGGAACATCTGTACATACTTTATGACTCCATATACTTTATTGGAACTCTGTTGTTTAGAAACTACCTGGCTTCTAATTTGGTTTACAGTACAGAAATTATGTTTGCTGCTAATTTCTCTTTCAGAATGATTAATCTGGAAAATGTCGTCCCTTCTTATTACTTCTCTTTATGTCCTCTCTGGATCTAGGGAGATCCAGGAATCCCCGGATTCAAGGGGGAAGCGGGACCAAAGGGAGAAATTGTGAGTTTTGTTTTCATTTTACTCATTTTGATTGTCAATTTTTTTTGTTTTGTTTTAAAGCAAATAAGAAATGTTATGTTCCTTCAGACAAGGCTTTTAATATTTAATCTTTTTTCTCTCACTCAAATTTGATGGTGGTTTTTCTGTACAAATTGAATTTGTTGACAGGGACCAGCTGGACCTCAGGGAGCCCCTGGCCCTCAAGGAGAAGAAGGCAAGAGAGGACCCAGAGGTGAGCCTGGTTCTGCTGGACCTCTTGGACCTCCAGGAGAAAGAGTAAGTATCAAAAATCTAATTAAACTGGTTACTTTGAAGAAAATACAACAAGTTCAATTAATACTTAACCTTTTGTTCATAATGCATGCCATGGTTACATCATGATAATGACATAGTTTCAGGGTTTTTTTTTTAAACTGATAAAACCGTTTTAAACCTTTATGAGCTTGTTGTTTCTGTTAAATACATATTTTATTTGTGATAAAACCATAACTTTGATTTTTTTTTTGGTTTTCTTCCTAGGGAGCTCCTGGCAACCGTGGTTTCCCTGGTCAGGATGGTCTGGCTGGTCACAAGGTGAGCTATGGTTACAGAATAATATGTAACGAACATGATTCTCAACCTCAAAACTGACAGTGAGAAGACATAAAGTACACAGTTTGAAAAGAATAATTTCTATTTGACAGATATCATTTCACCTCAAGCAATATTTGATCTTCCGTTTGCTGACTGGTCCCAGTTGATCTCAATCTGCAAAGTTGACAACTGGGAAATAATTTGTTAATTATTGTCTATCATACGCCGAGAGTCAGCGACATTTTTGTCATTTTTTTTTATTGTTCCCTAGAGAGCATCAATTGAAAATGCTTTATAAACAAATTAATATTTTACTACTATTAATAATACTATTTGTTGTAGTAGTAGAAGTAGTAAAGTTTCAAGTCCCGGATGAAATTTCTAAAATATAATTTTTCAATTCTTCATAATTCTTAAATCAAGTTAAGTTGAATAAAGCAGCGTATAACTAATTAAATTACAAGGTCGATGACATGTGTAACGAGTCTGCTGACACCTCAGAGTTCGCTGATCTCAAATCAGTTTTTCACTCCTTAGTTAAAATAAAAATTAAGGAAAATATTCCTCCCCCGTTTCATTTGGATTTCACTCTGATTTTCACCACCATTTAATGTAATTCTGCTTTGTGGCCACCAGATGGAAGCGTAGTTCACATCCCCATCATGCCTATAAATGACCTACATATGCCATGTCACTTAGGCCAATGTCTCATTTAACATTATCTTCTCATAGACAGTTTCATTTAAAATAAAATGAATCTATCATAATTTAAGTTATTGATTCAGCAGATCAATAAAGAACTGCTGCTCACTCTTAACAGGAAAACTTATTTCCTTAGAAGTAGAAAGAAAGTTGTGCCACCCACCAATTTGGGCCTAACTGAATGGTTTTCTTTTTTTTCTTTCTTTTTTTATAGGGAGCCCCAGGTGAGCGCGGACCCCCTGGGGCCAGCGGTGCCAAAGGAGCCACTGGTGACCCTGGCCGTCCTGGAGAGCCTGGTCTTCCTGGTGCAAGGGTAAATTACGCTCACAGTGTTCTGTCAGTTCGCACTTCACAAATCCCCCTGGTTAAATCCTAATTAAGTCTTATTTATAGTTCATCACCTAAACATCTAGTTTACAACATGACCTACTTTTCATTCATTCATCATTTTAAATGAAATAAAGCCTTTAAAAATATGTAGAGCATGACATCATTCAGTCGTTGGCCAACCTATTATTTCATTTAATAGTATTTGCAGCCATGCTCCTGCAGCTTATTTACATCAGTTTAATTATTTTTCTTCTCTTCTCACTGACAAATAAAAATATCAGTAAAGCTGCTCTCATCCACATTCACGCAGCTTCAGTGGGAAAAAAAATTATTTTGCATAATTTAAACACATCTGCGCTGTTGTTTTGGTTGTGCTTGTTAAAACAGAACATGAAAATCTACTGCTGTTCTCACTCCCTTCCTGCAGCAGGCTCCACTGTGGAAAAAAAGTGAAGCTGGATTAAAGTTTGGCCTAAAAGTCTCTGAAAAAGCCAACATATTCCTAACACTTAGAGCTGCAGCATGAAGTGTGTGCAGCAGAAGAAGCAGCCATATGTACAAACTTGAGAGTTAGCTTTACTATCTTAGCATTTAAGTTGATGTCATATTAAATAAATAACAGTAAATACTTGGTTACTTTCATTTAGGAGATAAATAAAAGACAGTAACATGCTATAAAATACAATCCATTAAGCAGGTGCAATTAAAGTCACAAACAGACTTAATGCAAAGTTTTGGTAAGGATTTCATGTGTTTGTCTTGACTCTTCTTAAATTCTTTCTCTCAGCTTTTTTTATTCGCTCTTTTGGATTGTAGCTTTCAGATTTAAAACTAAATCACTGTACACCAGGTGCTGCTTTTACAGCAGGTAGACAGGACATATAAACCAAGCTTGTTCCTCAAAGCTTGATCAAAATGAGTAATTTTAATTCTCACTTGCGCAGCACTTTTTCTAGCTCCTGCAGTGATTAAATCGCTTCACACTTGCATAAACACACAGTGTTGTAGTTGCCTTCCTTTGCTCTCATTCACATGTCTTCCTTAATTGTTGAACTGCTGCTTTCTGCATAAATTACCAGTCTGATGTGTAAATGCTGTTTTCCACAGGGATTTGTTTTTTCCTACCAGCCATGTTTTGTGTGTGTTTTAATAGAGTCATCTCTTCGTTCATGTGTTGTGTTTTGTTTTTTGTTCTTGATCTCTCACAGGGTCTGACTGGTCGTCCTGGTGATGCTGGACCTCAGGGCAAAGTTGGGCCTTCTGTAAGTGCAATCGTTTGTGTAACAGATGTATGAATGCATTTCAAGTATTAAATTATTATTATTATTATTGTTAGCTCGATGGAATTATTAGTTGTAATAATGACTTAAAACCTTGACGTGCTTTAAATCTAAGATTTAACAGAAAAGACAATTATGTTATTAAATGTGAATGAACTCTATGTGCTCCTATTTTTGACACTATTGTTCCATTTCATCATTTATTACTTTATTTCTCTTTTAGTTAAGAAATTTTGTAAGGCAAATATATACAGAAATCTTCAAATCTTGAAATGAAATTTAATTTATCTGTACACAATTTTCCAAAAACTTCCAATATATTTTCAATTATTTCGATTCTAAATACTGTTTGGACCAACTCAGAATAAGTTGTTGGCAGATATTTTTATATTAAGACACATTTGCTTACAAAATGATCCCTTTTATGTGATTCCATTTTGCAACCAAACACAGTAAGGCATGAAACGATGCAAGCTGAAATTACAAAAGGCTAAAATGACCAGAACAAAGAAGGAATCACAACAAATAACAGTTTTTTCCCCAATAATAAGCTTCTTTAAAGTCGTAGCAGTCTTCTGTAAACTCATATTGTCCAAATTAAATGAGAGGTGGTGAACATTTCCACCTACGTACTTTAATGTCATTTAGCCCCGTAGAAGCTGCAAACAATTGCAAGGTTTTGTCTCTAATAAAAGGACTACATCATCCTCTAAACAATAAAAGAAAATGTAATGTGTTTACATTTTTCATTTTTTCTAAGCAAAAAAAATAACAATCCGTCAGCCCATGCATGTGTGTGTGTGTTTAATATCTCATATAAAACAGCCAGGGAGGGACTTGTAACTCAATAATAACTGTACGAAATGTGCACAGCCATTATTCATCTGCTTCAATGTGATTATTGCCACAGCTTTTACATGAAAACTCACTAACAAATCATTCTGACTCCGCTCAGACATTTTCTGTCTTCATTTTGATATTTTCCCTCAATATTGGTTTCATGTCACTGCATCCTTAGCTTTACTGTCACATCTAAAACATTTCAATCTTCATCCGCTGTTTGTGATTTTGATTTGATTTGAATTTGCCAGGGAGCTCCAGGTGAGGACGGACGTCCAGGACCCCCCGGCCCTCAGGGAGCCAGAGGACAGCCTGGTGTCATGGGGTTCCCTGGACCCAAAGGAGCAACTGTAAGTATTACAAGCAAAGTTAAATGTGTCCTCCATGCGACAAGATGATTTATCTGGTCATTATGTCTATTTGGACATAGTGCAAATGATAGATGACTTCCTGAAAATATATTCATGAAACAAAATCATACAGTAGACTGGATTAGCACCATCTGACTTGCTCTGCTGCACCAACATATGCAGCTTCTCCTCTCTATAAATAGGTGCAGCACCGAGCTCGGCCGCAGTGGCATATTGACTGACAGGTGCTTCTTATTTTTACTGTTAACAGGGTGAATCTGGCAAATCTGGTGAGAAAGGACTGGCTGGAGCTCCTGGTCTGAGAGTAAGTTGATGTTTTCTGTGTTTATTCATATGCAAAAATGTATTTCTGAGGATTTTAAGAAAGAAATCATATTGCTAGTGCCTTGTAGTGTCTGCTATAAAATATCTTTCACAAAGATCAGTATGAAGTATTGATTAATTGTGGAAAGCAACTATTTTTAGATTATTTTCATTTCAAAGCTCAGCATTTTGCACATCTTCTATTGTAGGAGTGAATTGCATTGCAGTTCTGTTAAACTCTGACCCTGACTCGGCTGGAGAATTGTGTTAAAAAAGCTCAGTTATACCTCTGAGATGTCTGTCAGCTAATAGCATCACCTTTGGCTTTGGCTAAACTCATGATACCTATCTTTTCACTCTCTTCAGGGTCTGCCCGGAAAAGATGGAGAAACGGGCGCGGGTGGACCCCCTGGCCCTGCTGTACGTATCTTCATCTCCCCACCCGACTCTGTTCAGCTTCTACACTGATGCTATCTCTTCTTTTTCTAAGTCTACACTTGGAAACATCATTCAGTACCTCAATTTCCCCAGACTAGGTCTACAATAGCTCTGTCTGGAACAAAAAAAAAAGTCCTTGACACTTATGTCTGAGCATTATGGGATGGCAACAGTGACTCACAGACCATCAGCCAACAAGGATTGTTTTTTTTTTCAAGGCATTAATGTATATTTCACATAAAAGAATGAGAATTAGAACATTTATGGCATCATTGAAACATGTTTTTGATATTTTTTCATCATCATAAAGCCTACATTAATTGCATTAATTGATTGTGTGTTTAGGGCCCCGCTGGGGAGAGAGGAGAGCAAGGACAGCCTGGTCCCTCTGGTTTCCAGGTACGTCTATATTTGATTTATACTTAAATTCATTTATTCAGCTTTTTGAATTGTACAGGTTCCATTGTTAATTTACTGGATTCAGGAGTTCATCTACCAATCATTTCTTCTTCTTTTCTGTGTGCAGGGTCTTCCAGGACCTCCTGGCCCTCCCGGTGAGGGAGGCAAACCGGGAGACCAGGTTGGTACAATTTTTTTGGGTACAGCTGAAAGGTCACAACTTGCCAGTAACATAGGAAAAGAAGCTTTGTATGGAATTTGCAGAAATGTTCCTACATCTTCCTGCAGGTATATACTGGTTTACAGTGTAAACCAGTATAAGTGACACCACAGAATTTACTCTAAATATTAACGTGTGTTATGGTTTACAGAAATAAATGAATCAGTGAACATATTTATTTTTCTCTAAAGCTATGTTTTAAAAAAAAAGTTCAAACTGTGTCTTTTTCCAAACTCCTGCTGCAGCTAGCTGTGCTACATTGCAACGCTGGCTTGTGTATAAACAAAAAGTGGAGATTTAGTTTTAGCCATCACTTCATCAAGTGTTTTACAAAGTATGTTAGAATTTACATCCAAGAAAAATTTACTTTTGCTGCAGCTTAGTATTTCAACAGGAGAGTTTTTTTTTTTTTTTTGCTCTATAAAGTTTCTTTTGCCTCCAACGCAGGTGGCTGCTCCCTCTTACTTTTCATGCTAATTATAGTGCCAAGAGAAACAGCAGCAGTTTTCAGTCAGAAGCTTAAACACAGTTCATCTGTATCAGATAATGCAGCTGCTCTAACTTTAACCAAGTTCTGTCTAAAAGGTTTGACGCCATAAGCAAAAAAAATAGAAATAGAAATAGAAATAGAAATAGCCTATATTTTTTAAAAAGTTATCAAGTACCTCCTGTTAATATGAGTCAGAGAGCATTTATATAACAGCAATATATTTCTACACTCAATAGTTGCACTGTTGACACTCAAACATCCTGATCTTCTGCTCTTTACTGTCTGCTTGTCTCTTTAGGGCGTTCCAGGAGAAGCTGGAGCTGCTGGTGCCACTGGACCCAGAGTAAGTCCCTGCGATTTCACTTAAACTGGTCGGTCAGGTGGTTACCACAAAGGGTTAAAGAGATGTGTCATTAAAAGGTTAAAATTTCTGATATCTGATTTTTGACAACGTTTTACCTTCCGATTCTTAGTTGGGCCAATTTCAACGCAAAAAGACACAAGAACAGCATCGAAAAGCCTTTGGTTGTCATTAGAGATATCACAAGGAGAGGCAATGTGATGTCTTTTGTGTGTGAGAGAAATAGCACAGTAAAATAGGGATATTTCAAAGTAAGACTTGCAGGATTTTAAGTTGTCCTTAGATTATTTATATTAGCCTGATTAGAGTGGTTAACATTTCTTGGTGAAATTCATCTTTGCTTTAGCTCTCAGATTTCCAAAAGGCTGTAAACATTTTATGACGAGGTGAAAAACTCAATATGTAAAACAGAACAAACTTGCTCAAAGTCCTGCTCTCTCTCGCTTTCCGACAGCCTGAATGAACATGTTTTATTTACTTCTTACATGTCTGCTGTTGAGTTCATTTGTAAACCTCCGCCACTGAAAATAGCTAACTTTGAATGTTTTTCACTCAGTAAGGGCATCCAAACTGTAGATTTGCCAGGGTTACATGTCAGCTCATACATAATGTGGCCTCCAATCAATAAAGTATTTTAGCTTTTAGTTTACTTATCCATTTCTGGCCAACAGTTGATTTTTCTGTGTGTTACTGATGGTTTTTAATCGTTGCTGTGCCCCTTTTCAGGGAGAGCGTGGTTTTCCGGGAGAGAGAGGAGCTGCTGGAACGCAAGGTTTGCAGGGACCCAGAGGTCTTCCTGGGACTCCTGGAACTGACGGTCCCAAGGTGAGTTCACACCAGGACTGTTATCCAGTCAACGGGTTTCGATCAGATGCACCTACACAGCTGGCAAACATGTTACTAGGTATCTGTATCACCTGCAACAGCCAACACAGATCAACCTGAGGAGATGAGTGACTGACTAATTACGTCTTCTGTTTTTGTGTTTTATATAATTTTACTTTTGGTGATTTCCTAAGAAAGTTATTGGGAGAGTTACCTCACCCCAATCTAGTTCTTAATTGTCTGGTGATTTGTCAGAAGATGACAGTCTAATGGAAGTCTAAATTACCTCTGGGTCATGAAACAGCACCCCCGTTCAGTATTCTTGATGACGAACATTTCATTTCATAAAAGGGAATTAACTTTGTGGTGCCTTAGTGACTCCGAGGCAGCTCTTACCAAATTATAGCTCATGGGTTTGATGTTATTAACAGCGGTTCTAAGGGAAAAACTCTGTTGTGTTTCTAATTGTACCCTGAAATTCAGAAAATAATCCAAATTGAGTTTGACAAAGCATCCCTGCTGCACAGTTCTTAACACCAGAAAAAGTTGTTTTGCTCGTGCAACGGTTAGAGTTCCAGCAAACATCCAGACTGGGATTAATGCACTTCTGGACCTTTTTAATCTCTCCCTTTTGCTCATATTTCTTTTCTTAGTTTATGTACTGTCCAATACCATCAGCTTTCATTCTGTCTCTGCAATAAAAAACAGGAAACCTCAGTTTTTGAATCGAATCATGCGTTTTTGCATCTCTGTCAACTCCTTGTGGAGCAGTAATTTGTCACTAGTGCATCGAGGGTGGAAAGAGCTCACAGCAGTAGCGGCTCTCTATCTTTTGGTTTATTATCAGCTCAGATTTTAATCCCAGTTTATAGATTTTTTTTTCCTGTGAGGTCAGACAGGAGCGGATAGAGAGGATGAGGATTAGAGCCAGCATGAGTGCGATGATGGCGATGGGGGTGGGGTGAACAGACATTCTGTAGGTGGTATTAAAAAAAAAAAGAAAGCAGCAGATTTATTGCACAAGCCACACTGCTCTGTACGTCACTCACTTGGCCTTGAGTAAACAGTAGCTTGAAAGTACCCAAAGGAGAAATTGCTGCAGCATGAGCCCTGCTGTTAGCCGTAATAACACGAGATAGGATCGAGATATGGTGTGCATCTGAAGCCGAGCAGAATAGACTCTGTATAAATCTTACAAGTTCTGACCAGGAATGGGCCTGATGCAGCCACTTCAAAAAAAAGAAAAAAAAGAAAAAAAAATCAAAGACTGCCTTTTCCTTATTTTGTTTTTTTTGCCTTTGAACTGCAGAATAGAGTTTGTCCTGACAAGAGCCACCTTTCTTTTACTAAAAGAGCAATAAGGGGCTACATATAACTCTAACTTTATTTGTAATTAACTGACTGACTTATAAGCATAAAGTATTACTTCTACTTTGTTGTGATTTGGATCAAGTTATTTTATTTTTCCTGTCCTTTGATAGCTTTGGAAACAAAGCACCACATCAGAAATGGGTTTGGTCCTTTGTTGAAGCAGACAGATTTTCTTTTTTTTTTTCTTACCCTCAAATGTCATCATTATTTTATTATGTTAACCAACTGAAAAGTTTTAGCAAAAGCAATTGAAAATGTGTCAGAAAACACAAAAGTATCTTTTTGAATTAGATGTAAGCACCTGGTGTAGAAGCTTTCAGCGAGTTATTCATGAACTGAAAGCTTGAAGTAAGTTTTTAGTGACTGTCTCAACTCGCTGCTGCTCCTAGACTGAGCTGTCTGCTTTAATCCATGACCCCTAACAGGGAGCCATTGGACCTGCTGGAGGTCCAGGAGCTCAGGGTCCACCAGGCCTGCAGGGTATGCCAGGAGAGAGAGGAGCTGCTGGCATTCCTGGACCCAAAGGAGACAGGGTAAGCTCTGACGGGACCATGTCTTTTAAAAATTAAGGATATTTGGACATAACACATGATTGATTGATTATTTATTAACCTCTTCTCTCTGCAGGGTGATGTTGGAGAGAAAGGACCTGAAGGTGCTCCTGGCAAAGATGGCGCCAGAGTATGGGATAGTCACTTATTTCATTTTTTTTTTAAATGATAAAACTTTGTAAAAATAATTTAAAAGGACAAAACAGTTTCAATGGCCAATGTTTAAATGGCCTTAAAATAAGAGTCTTCATTTTTCAGCGCTCAAAACAAGCTAAGTATTGTCTGGATTAATTGTTTTTCTTTCTGATTTGCAGGGTCTTACTGGTCCAATTGGTCCTCCTGGTCCTGGTGGTCCAAATGGCGAGAAGGTAAGTAATATTTCTTTCTTTCTGAAAACGCTTTATTGCTGAAATCAACAGTTAAAGCTATGAAGCAGCCACTGACTGCATATTAACAAGTTACTTAATGTGTTTTGCTGGTGATGTATATGTGATTCTTGTAGGGTGAATCTGGACCTGCTGGACCATCTGGACCTGCTGGTGTTCGTGGTGCACCTGTGAGTGTTGCAGTTCCAGACAGTTTAAGTTTATTAAAAAAAGAAACTGTTTCAGCTGTACAATAAGGTGCATTAACTGTACTTGAGTTAATTATTTAGGATCTTTCATTAGTCATAAGGTTACAAATCTTCTTTGATAACTGGGAGAACAGGAATGTTCTTTCAATAAACTTTTTTGGTTCATCTTCACCTTTCAGGGAGACAGAGGAGAGACTGGACCTCCTGGGCCTGCTGGGTTTGCTGGACCTCCTGTAAGTTTAATTAAAAACAAGAACACAATTCTACTGGGAAATGTTACTTAAGAACAAAAAAAACAAAAAAAATAGAAAAAAAATAATTGTTAGAGATTTCAATCCCATTTTAAATTGTAACAATTACTCACATCTAAACTAGCATACAACTTGATTTTATTTATGATAGTAATGCAAACATCTAATGTTTGAAAGTGAGAAAGACGGAGTTTAACTGTGATAGCAGGTCAGTGTAGAGACTCAGATGTTTATACTATTCCTTTGCTATGGTTTGATGTGCAGAATTACCTCTCTGAAATAAGCAAGACCTGAAATGAAAATGACATAAGCAGCAGATCCAGCATTAGTGGTGCTTTCACAAACATTTGCCATACAATTTGCATTAATTTACCACCTTCTGCCCATTGCCAGTTAATGTGTCTGTGGAAAATGTTCTGCACATTATCCCAGATCCACTATCTGGTTTGGACAGTAAGTGGATTCGGTAAGTCAGAAAGTAGAGAAAACCATAAGTGACGTAAATGTTCCTTATTTCTGTAAATGGAGTCCATATTGCCGTATTAGAAAGGATGATGCTACCTTTGATGTTTTGTTGTTGACTTCAAATAGTCCACACATGGGGTCCATAATTTTCAAAAGCAAAATTATATATTTAATTTTATCAAAGTGCCTGATATATTTCAGCTTATTTTACTCTTGAAAGCTGAGCGTCTTCGCCTTGGTATCTTGTGTATTTTATGTGCTTTTTTTTTTTTTTTTTGATGCACCGTGTAACTGTCCTAAGACGGTTGTTTTCAGAAGTGTTCCTGAGCTCTGCTCTCCATGGGAAGAAATGTTTTTGTTTGTGCTGCAGTGCATCCTGAGGCCCTATAGATAACAGGCACTCCGGATAGATTTTCCATTTGCCACCTTGCCTCTTGTCCCCCTGAGATTTTTGATGTTGTGCGATTCCTTTGATGATGTTGGGAGCTGTAGATGATGTGACTCCATTATAGGTGGACACATCAGACTATTTTCTCATACCTACAGTTAAAATTAATATTTAGATATACTGCCTGATTGTATCATTTATGTAAACACCCAGATTCATCTATAGAATCCAACCCTATTTTTCTAAAACAGAATACATCCTTAATGCAGAATAGGAGAAGATACACTTCCATCACAATAACAAACTTCTATTTTGTTTGATATCTTTTTTACATTTTGAACCATGATGAAAAATAATGAGTTCTTATACTGATTCAGGATGTGTGTCGGGTTATCATGATCTTCTGCACACCCCTAAGCACAGACTGATCATATTTGTTGTGTACATCCTACTACATTCATTGATACTGCAACCAGATTGCTATACTAAGCTTAAAACACAATAATACTCTCAGTCTGCTAGGAGTTCCTTTCAATTTTTAGCTCAAATCTCACACAATTTCAGATCATCTCAATTCAGTTTATTTGAATCTCAAGGTAATTTGTAAACATTCATGTACATATGTCTACTGTCTACATACATTTTAGACCTAAATTCAGTTCAAACCCATCTAAATTACTCCAGTACAGTCCAGTACCATATTCAGATCCAATTTCATAGTATAATTAAATATCATCAGTTTCACTTCATTATTTACTATCAAATGGTAGAAGTTATGTGTTTAAGGAGGCATGGTCAATTAACAATCAGCCTTAGCAAGCATGCGGCGACAGTGGAGCAAAATCACTAGACATTACCAGAAGAAAATATCTGAATAAAGACCAACTGTACACAAGATGTCACATTTTTAGCTTTAAATGATAACGTGATTAAATTTTTTCAACTATAATTACTACAATTAAATGTCTTAGCAAATTTATTAGCCTCCAAATTCTTCTTAAAGTAAATTTCTTCAGCACGCTTTAAACTTGAAACTGCACACCTCCTTATCATCTTTATAACTGGATTACTGCACTGAAATCGGTTTGGCATCATTTGTCATTCTCTGTGTTAATGAGAGAAGACAAAAAAAAGTTGCCATTTTGATCACGTAGAAGTGAAAATCCAGGTTTCATTAACTTTCCTTTCTCTATCAAATAGAGACGTTCGCCACATTATAACATGACATCTACCTGACACATCATTTCCTTTTCATTGACACTATCTGAAAACGCTCAAATGTGACGCTGCCTTTGCCAGTCTTTTCCTCCAATTTAATTACGCTGTCTTGTTTCCTTAGCGTATAATTATTTGGAAAGATATGAGTTTACAGACTGTCAGAAGCCATAGCTTCTGTCATTTCATTTATTCTTACACTCTAGACAGAAATCCCTTGAATGGTTTTCATAAGTCACATCCTTTCAAATGAATTTCATCAATACATTTGTTAGAACAACATTTATCTCAAGGCTTTTCCCCCTACAGAATACAACTATGATTAATTATAGATTTTATGTCAGCCTGAATACTCCTGCAGCTCTGTAAATATTCTCCATTCACAGCTTACATGCTGTAACATCACGGCTCATCACCCGAAACACTGAAAACAAACAACCCAAATTTTCTGCAGCTTTTTTTTTTAAAGCTTGTGTCAGTTTTTCTCTGGAGCCTGTCACATTTTTAATCAAGTTTTTTTTCATTAAAGAAGTACATCTGCCACTGGGCTGTGCAAAAAGATTGATCCCGTTTCACATTTTGTAAAGTTGCACTTCATTGAGATTTTATGTGATAGACCAGTGCAAGCTGGTGGTTAATTGTGAAGTGAAGTGGAAAGAAAAGGATTTATGGAGGGTTTTCACGCTGAGCTCTGTATAGTCTGTCTTCCAAAAACGTAAAGACTGTGGCATAACTTCAAACCCTCCAAGACGTAGCTGACAACCTAAGCTGACAGTTCAGGCAAGGAGAGCATTAATCAAAGCGCCATCAAGATGCTTATGTTAACGGTGGAGGACCTGCAGAGATCCACTGCTGGGAGAATCAGTCCAGAGGACAACCATTAGTCATTCACTCCACAAATCTGACTTTTATGGAAAAGTGGATAGCAGAAAGCCATTGTTCAAAGTAGATTACTAGGGTTGTCATTTAAAATGCGCCACAAGCCACATAGATGATGAAATAAATATTTGTAAAGAAGTGCTCTGGTGAGGGGATAACAAAGATTAAAAACCTTCACAACATCCTGGATACACTTTCTCCGCTGTGAAGCACAGGGATGGCACAATCATGCAGTGTGGAAACTGTTCCTAACAGAGACAGCAGGACATTAAATAACTTAAAATTTAGGCAGAGGTTCACCTCTCAGCAGAACAATGACCCTAAAGATCCAGACTGGGCTAAAACAGCATATGTGAATAGAGTTTATACCAAAGCATATACTTTGTACATGTGCTAGAATGGCCCTGTCAAAGTCAAGAACAATTGGGACTTTAAAAATTGGTCACAGACCCTCCTCATCCAATCTAGCTGAGCAGGAGCTTTTTGCAAGGAAGAGTAGCCAATAAAATCCAGTCTTTATGTTTTGTAGAGCTGATAGAGACACATGTCAGTATTGAGTCTTGAGTCAGAAGAGCAGAAACCAACATGAAGAATCAATTGATCACTAGTTTACATCATGCTTATTAAATGCTGAATGTGAGAAAAAGCTTCAGGTATGCACATCCTGTTTTATTGCCAGGGAGCCGATGGTCAGCCTGGAACCAAAGGAGAGCAGGGAGAAGCAGGACAGAAGGGAGATGCTGGAGCCCCTGGACCCCAAGGACCATCCGGTGCCCCTGGCCCTTCGGTAAGTTTCATTATCAACACAGCTGCTAATCTGCAACATTTCGGTTTGTTCAGATCTAAATGAATGGGGATTTAACCCTAAAGGCTGCCTGACTGCTGCTATAGGGAAAGCAGAGGCACTTCCTGACATTTATTCTTATAAGTGACAATGTGTGCACCCAATCAAGCAGAAATGTATTTTTTTATCTCTTTGTTGAACATTCATATACAGCAAACACTAATGGATTGTTCCACACCTGCCATGAAACATAAAAATGTTCATGAAACAAAAGAAATAAGGCCATATTCTGATTTACAGTTCTGCTTTGATCCTAGGGTCCTACAGGTGTTTCTGGACCTAAAGGTGCTCGTGGTGCCCAGGGTCCTCCTGTAAGTGTCTTTTTGAAAATATATTGTTTTGTTGGCTGCTTCGCGTTAGCCTGTTGCTCTCACTTACATGAATTGCTTAGTGATGATACTATTGTCTACTCTGTTAGGGTGCCACTGGTTTCCCTGGAGCTGCTGGGCGAGTTGGACCTCCTGGCCCCAACGTAAGTTCACCGCTTTGTTCACTCTACCTCTGCTCATCCACTTTACTCTGCAATGAAAACAGTAGTAGTAATATTAATTACATATAATACAGCGTAAATCCAATCAAACAAACAAGATAAAAGTATTTAGAAAAAAATTATTTCATAAATAGAAACTGCTAATTAAACAGAAAATATCAAGTTTTCTAACAAGAAAAAAGCATTCAACTTACATAAAACTCAATTTGGGGGCTGAAAAAAAAAATCTGTTTATAAAAAATATGCCCAAAAAAAGAAATGGAAACCTTTATCCCTTCTTTTATGTGCTAATCAGCTTTTTCATAACTCTTCTTATCTTTGATTTGACTTCCAGTCAGAAACAGATGCTGGTCACAATAAACTACTAATATAAACCTGACTCTGTTGGAGGTATGAATAATTTTGGGTTGAAGTATAGCTGCAGGACGTTCTGTGTCATCTTTGATATCTTGGATACATCCATTTCCTGCCTCTTAGGTTAAAAGAGATGTAAGCTGTGTGCTATCAGCATGGAAATAAAAAATCATACTATGCCTGCAGATAACATGTCACAGACGTGGCAAGTACAAAGTAAAGATGGGAGGTCTAAAAATAAACCTCTGAAGTTCTCCAAAGGTCATCTTCATTAGGGATAACTGACATTTAATAACAACCACACTAAGGTATCTCTCCTGAAAATAAGAGTGAAATAACCTTCACTATTATTTGAAATGATTTAATAAAATCTAGTGATCCAGTGATTAGATAAAATGTACCCTCTTTGTTAACAATGCAATTGTAGATAGTGTGTGTGGTAAGGTTGGATAGTGGTAGTTTTTGACATGGACAATTTGAGATAAGTATCAAATGCTGATCTTTAGAATATTAGATTAATTTTCCCAGCCTGATTTGGTGTTCTATAAGTAGCTGTAAAGCATTTACCCTTCCTGACCCGACACCACCCACACACACACACGCACGCACGCATGCGCGCGCGCACACACGCGCACACACACACACACACACACACACATTGCCAGAATAGTTTGTCTAAAGCAGCAGGACTTTCTTTAGATAATTGCTTACAATAAAGTGTGTTGAAGACAACACTTTTTATTGTCGCTGTAAATGGACTCTGTAAACAGAAATATTTATCTGTCAGCTTGCGCTCAAAATGAGACCTACTTTATATGTTTTATTCAAATGCTTGGCAGGGTAATCCTGGACCCGCAGGTCCTGCTGGCCCTCCTGGTAAAGACGGACCAAAAGGAGTGAGAGGAGACGGTGGACCTCCAGGCAGACAGGGTGACGCTGGACTACGCGGTCCTGCAGGAGCTCCAGGAGAGAAGGGCGACCCTGGAGAGGACGGTCCCCCTGTGAGTGTGCTGCACCTCCTCCTATAAGCACCCAGAAGACAGACTTTTACATAATGTGGAAATCTGTGACCTTGTTATGCTGAAAATAACACTATGGTTCCTGTTGCACCCACCTACTGTTGCATGTAGGTGCAAGCCTAAAGAGAAGAAAATATTTTAATGTATTTGTTTTTTTGCATTTTGAGCCATTTTTATGTTTTCCTTTCAAGCCGGACAGCCAATTTTAGCAGTAATGGACACGCTCACCACTAATACACAGAGCTGTCAGTGTCCATCACTGACTCTAATAGCAGACTAAGATGTGACGGCACAAGGCAGCACAATCTGGTGACAGTGTAAGAATGGAGCCCCAGCCCTTTTACTTCAGAGCTGCACACAAACACACACAAACACGCATACACACCAGTTACAAATAGATGACAAGTTCTGTCAAGATAATGACAGGTTGTGTCCCGAGGGCGGAGGCTCCAACTCTGAGGCAGTGCTGCATTGAGTCCATCTCTTCCTATAGACTTCATCCTGTGTATGAAATCCTGAGCCCAGCATCAGCACATCAAAGCTTTGTCTGCCTCATGGTGCGTCTCAGCTGTCACTTACAGTCAGGTGTTCACTGTGAACATGATTTCAGGAGCTGCAAGACATTTTGACAGAGCAGCCTCTGGAGCTGAGGATGACGTAGACCAGAGAGGTGATGGAGAGATTCATTTGCAACTCCGACTGGGAATAAAATATTGCGTCGAGAGTGATGGAAGATATACACCTATCATGCCTTGGAAGTGACTTAGAAAAAAATAATGACCGAGTGGCTCAAGATGTGTTATGTGAGAGACATCTACCACAGTAGTGATGAGTTTTCTGTTGTTTTTATTTTCCACTCAGGGTCCGCTAGGTCCCTCGGGTCCTCAGGGATTGGCTGGTCAGCGCGGTATTGTTGGTCTACCCGGGCAGAGAGGTGAAAGGGGTTTCCCTGGTTTGCCTGGGCCTTCTGTAAGTAACATGAAATCACATGACCAAGCACATTCAAACTTAAATTCTGCAAGTCAAATACAGGTGGAGATGAAAAATTTAGACAAAAGACAAAAATTTAAACGTGAGCAATAAAAAGCACAAAACAGACTAAAAAACTAAACAAGAGCATATTATATGGCATCAAACATACTTTGCTTGTCGTTTTTTCTAATTCATATTAAAATATTTCATATAATTGAGTCAGACCTGTGGGAGAATGAGCTTTACTGGGCTGTTGTGAAACTGGTCATGAGGAAGATGTAAAATGTGATGTAGCATGTCTTAAATACATAACTTTTTCTTCTTAGAAAAATGAACAAAACAAATACAACTTTAAAATATAAAAAGGGACACAAACTCATATGTTAGCTCTTTGGATGCTAAATTTAGCATGTTTACTACCCTTGTATGGATGAAACCACAGCTCAGCCCGCATTGCGATTTTTGACATGCACCAATAAAATTTGATGCCAGTTCTTTTTGCTGTGTTTCAACAGACACATAAACACCTTCAAAAGATCTCAAAACTGCTTTTGCAGCAGCTCCTGCAAGGGTGTGCATGTCTCCACGAACACATTGTCTCTCGAGGCCACAGACACACACACAGGCAGAGAGTCAGAAGGTGAAAGCATCATCAACCCTGCTGTCACGGCTGTTAATAAATATTAATGAATCTGCCATATGAGCACAATACTGACTGTTTTGCCACTGTGTAAAGTAAATGTGGGGAATCAGCAGATGTGCTCTGGACTGACAATCTGCTGTGTCCTAATTTGATCAGTCAGAACGCATCTCACGTCAACCAGGGCTTTTCCCCTCATGTTTCTGTCTGATGGAGATTACACCACGACATGTGACTGAAGAGCTTCCCCTGCTTACATCCAACATTTTTTTGACATATGACATGAACCATTTCCCCTACTTACAACATCTCAGCGGGCATGTCCCCACCATCAATTATTCACCAGCATGCATGAAGGGGATTCCAGTAAATCAAAATAAACCCACCAAGGAATGAGCTTTCAATGACAGATGGGACTGCAGATTAGGCTTCATGTTCAAAGCAAAGTGTGATTTTTTTTTTTTTTTTTTTGTGGTCAAAGACTAATTGTTACTGTTATAAACTGTTTGTATAAATTATCTGGTCTAAATGTGATTGGATGTTGTTTCTCTTTTTGTGAACAGACAAAAAATAGAAAAAAGCACAATGCTAAGATTTTCTTTTCATACCATGAAAGATAATGACATGACAAGTAGCAACAGAAAAATGCTGGAGTTAGTAAATCAATTTTGAATATGTATATACTTCAATCTTGCACCAAAAGCAGTGAAATTAGGATCCATGATGAATGTGCAATCACAAGAAAGTGTTGAAGAAAAAAATTATCTTGAGTTTGGGAATCACTCTTCTTTTTAGTGTCTTAGCTATGTACTTCAAATTGAAGATTTATTTTTCTTTCTGTTGTTAAAAATACTCAAATGTATAACCGTAAACAAACTGCAGAACCTGAACTAGTGGGAATTTAAAGAGTTGTATTTCTTTTTTCATTTTTCAACATGTAACAATGAGTCCTTATTCCTGTCAGGGCGAGCCTGGAAAGCAGGGTTCTGCTGGTGGTCCTGGAGACCGTGGACCGCCTGGACCAGTCGGACCTCCTGGGCTCACTGGTCCTGCTGGAGAACCTGGTAGAGAGGTAAAGGAAAATCACCGACACAAAGCATGTGCTTGATTGAATCAGAAATGGAAATTCAAATTTCACACACATAATTGAGTCAAAGACTTCTGATTTGACTCAGACTCAGAAGTGAAGGCAGGTTGGAAAGCAGGCTCCATATGCATATATAATCTTGCAAAAGGGATGAAGTTGAATAGTTGAGTGTTTATCTTAACTGTAGCTTTTTAATAACATCCAGACAATAGTGGAGGGTGGATTGATCCAAAACATCGATAATATCTACACCAAATCGATACCAGTATCAGATCAATACTAGTGTGGTAAGATCGATACTTTAGTTTCAGATTCTGTCTTGAAATTTTATTTTGATTTTATGTAATAGTTTCTCAGCACTACCTCAAAATAGGTTTTGTTTTGATTTGCTCACAAATGATATATATGTTTTGCACTTTATTCATTTAGGAAAAATGTGCATAAGTTAGTTTTGTTTTTAAAAATGTTTCTGCCTATCATGTTAATATGTTCTTAAAATAAAATAATTCAAAGGAAATACTACAAAACACCTGAAGGTCAGAAGTTTGATGATATATCAAACCTAAAAATTAAAAAATATTGTTATTAGTATCGATATCAATACCAATATAGATGATATTGTCCACGTATTTACTTTGTATCGGATCAATACCAAAATTTGCAAGCCTCTTTAGACATAACTGCATATTTACATTTCTAATGGATTGATGTCTCATTGTTTTTCAGAGTAATGTAAAGCAGCTCATAACAAGTTTTGAATATTAAATTTTCAAAGATTACAACGTATTTGCTAAATGTTTGTGCCAAAGAGAAAAAAAAATACAGGATTTGAATTTCCAACCTACAATAATGCATTCTTAAAGAGAGACTAGATGCCATGCATTTGTAAATGCTCATCAAAGACTTTAGAGTTGACCCTCAAACACTTGAGACTTGACTTTGACTTTGGAAAATAGTCTTATAAACATCTCCGGACTGGATACGCAGCTGTCAACCCACTTCCTGTTTCATGTGAGCCATTGAAATTCTCCACACTTTGCATCACTCATCCATTTGCATTTTGTCCTATTATTGGGTTTGGCTGCAGTGGGGCTCATTATGCAGCCAATATTCATTCAGTAGGACACCTGGTTAGAATTAATTACCACTTCATTTTGTCTAACAGGGCAACCCTGGATCTGATGGACCTCCTGGTAGAGATGGTTCTCCTGGAATTAAGGTATAATTACAAGAGGTCAAATCACCTGTGTTGTATGATTTTGTTGTATATTTTGATTTTGATTACAATGTTACACACCTGTTATTGCCATCAAAACAAGTCAGAATTGTCAGGGAAATGCTGACAATTCTGCAGGATGAAATCACTTCATCTCTGTCATGTTTTTCGGGTCCTTCCTTGGCAAATTTGAGCAGGATCTACTCATTATCCTGCCAATAATAGTGTCCATACCAGACGGAAGAGTTGTTACCATATAGACACTGATTGTATTAAAATAAAATGTAATTGAGAAGGAAGTGTCCAAACAATGTTCAATGAAAGGCAAGCTGCATGTTTTGTTTTGAGAGTTTGTTGTTACAAGTAATATTTTTGCAACTTTTTACACCATTTTTATTTAAGACATTTAAAAATCATATATTTTAGCAAATGAATTCACGCTTGGTGTCTTCACAGTCTTTATGACACTCCTTTCGCTGCAGGGTGACCGTGGCAACACCGGTCCTGCTGGTGCTCCTGGTGCTCCAGGTGCTCCTGGGGCTCCCGGCCCAGTCGGTCCCACTGGAAAACAGGGAGACAGAGGGGAGTCTGTGAGTAATGACTCATATCTAATCTATTGCACAAGCAAAGTCACATGTTTTCCAAAAGCTATTTTAAAAACTCTAGCAAAGCATAAAAGTTTTTTTTTATGTTATATTTCTTTGAAGCTCATTTCTGCTATAGCTGAACATTAACATATTGTGTTACAAGTACAAAGAAGGTTTTTTCAGGTGTTTCATCCCCGATAGACCTTATATCCAAGACATAAATTAACTTTTATTGCTTTTCTAATTTGCATAATATTAATTTAATGCATTTCATGAAGCGCTTGCTTTTTTTTAAACCAAATTTTATTACTAATGTGTTGTAAAATACTCTACAAAAACTTTGTTACTGGTAAACTTCTAGGCAAGTCAGGTGTGTTTATATGTTTATCATTTCATTTTATTAGGGTGCCCAAGGACCAGCTGGACCTCCAGGACCTGCCGGTGCCAGAGGAATGCCTGTATGTGTCCTGCACTGATAACTTGGAACAACTTCCAGTCAAACAGACATGAATATTTATTGTTTACCTTCTTTCTGTTCACAACCGTCACCAACAAATAAGAGTTCATTAGCATGCTTTAAACTTGTTCTTAGGGACCCCAAGGCCCCCGTGGTGATAAGGGTGAAGCTGGAGAGTCTGGTGAGAGAGGTCAGAAGGGGCACAGAGGTTTCACCGGTCTGCAGGGTCTCCCTGGACCACCAGTAAGACGCCATATCTAATCTAAAACATTGCTACACTAGTCCATTGTTTGTTTCATACTTAAGGTCTTATTTCCTGTGCTGTCTCTGCATTAGGGTCAACCTGGAGACCAGGGTGCCACTGGACCTGCTGGGCCTTCTGGACAAAGAGTGAGTACAAACCCAACCAAACATGTTGCAATTAAAGCAGTAAAATGGTTTTAAATTGAAAGGAGTCTTGTATTTCTGTTTATCCAGCTGAGTGATTAGTCTAGTTATGTTCATGCTTCCGTCCTTCAATAGGGACCACCTGGACCTGTTGGTCCTGCTGGAAAAGACGGGTCAAATGGCTTACCAGGACCCATCGGACCCCCTGGACCTCGTGGTCGTACTGGAGACTCTGGTCCCGCTGTGAGTACTTATAGGAACATCACTCCCCCTTTTTGTTTGTTTTTAGCATGTTTTACTTTCCTAACTAACTTCTACAGAATGAAATATATGCCATCACATGCTTAATTATCTTGGTAAATAGATGTATATATCAACCTCATATTCAAGACAGCAATAAGGGCGATAAATAAATAAATAACAACCTAAGGAGTGAGGCTTTTGCCATGCAGCTTCATGAGCCTTAATGATGCTGTAAACGCTGCTACATGCATCAGATCTGTAATTTAGTTCAGTTGAAATTATTGCATACAGCTCCTTTCAAAGGTATCACCACCTCTTGAACTTTCGTGCTGCAGCCACAAACTTCAAAGTATTTTATTGGGATTTTATGTGATAGTTAAACACAAAGTAGTACATGCTGGTGCCACTGTATGGAAATAGGATTTTTACTTTTCATTTTTCTGCAAATAAATGTGTAGTGTGTCATATGAAAAGCTTTACATAAAGACGGTTGAGATTGCATAGAAGAAGAGAATACGATTTACCCAGCTTTACCTCTGTTCTGCAGCAGGGTCCAGTATGTGCAATTGAACCTTCTTCATACACACACACACGCAGAAATACCATCACTTCCTTTTGTTTGCCTCATGTGCTGACTTAGGCTTTTCTAGAAGGATTTCTTCTACCAAACTCACGTCACCAAAGAAACACACATTCAAGATCTGTTTCTTCACTACACCATCAACCACTGGCATGAAGTAATTTCGGAAAACTTATCCTTCATTTGAATTATTTGACTGTAAAACTTCAGAAAAACTATGCAACTTAAAAATTATTATGATTAATAATGACTAATAATTATTACAAACTATTTTAAAGTAACTTTTAATGTGCTTTCCCAATTTATTGTCTTCTCTCCATTTTATTTCTACATGAAGCCAATTATTAAAGCATTATTAAAAGACCATTTAACTATTAAAACATCCCACATGAGGAAGAATATTGGAGACTGAAGCAACTAAATGTGTTGCTTGCATTGCTCATTCCAAGAGGGACATCCTAGACAGATAATTGCTCAACCCACAGCGAGAAATGAGAAAAGCCTTTTTGATGTGCTTGTTTTTTTGTGTACTGTTTGTTAACCCTGGCAATCAGTTGACGTTGTTATTCAGAATTGTAGCCTTGCAAAAACCCTCTTCAGAAAATTGTGTAAAATTACATGTACATGTCTTGTTCAAGAGAATGAAGAAGAATAATCTAGCAGTGAATGAAAAACACAAGGATACAGGAAATCTACAATTCCTGAAGTAAAATAAAATGTGTTCTTACTTTCTGAATTGTTTTCAGGGTCCTCCTGGAAACCCTGGACCCCCTGGTCCTCCCGGTCCTCCCGGTCCTGGTATTGACATGTCTGCCTTCGCTGGTCTGGGTCAAACAGAAAAGTCTCCCGATCCCCTGAGGTACATGAGGGCAGACCAGGCCGCAGGGAATCTCCGTCAACATGACGCAGAGGTCGATGCCACCCTCAAGTCCCTCAACAACCAGATTGAGAACATCCGCAGCCCAGAGGGATCCAAGAAAAACCCTGCCCGCACCTGTAGAGACCTGAAGCTCTGCCATCCCGACTGGAAGAGCGGTGAGTGACAACGCAAGAAATTGGCTGAATTGGGGTGAGACAATGAAGCAGACTGCGTCTAGTCTGGGGAAATAAAGTTTTGGAAAAATAGGAATTTGACAGAAATCTTGTTTGCTCTGGAATATATTTGTCTTGTACTGATTTAGAGTCAGTTTTCTCAAGACTATGCAAAAACATGCAAGGCATTCCAGCTGTGCAGAAAGAATAATGTCACCCTGAAGGCTATTGCTCTGTTTTTGTTTAGGTGAGTACTGGATTGATCCAAATCAGGGCTGCACTGTAGATGCAATCAAAGTTTTCTGCAACATGGAGACTGGGGAGTCCTGTGTGAACCCCAAACCTGCCAAGATCCCACGCAAGAACTGGTGGTCCAGCAAGAGCAAAGAACGCAAACATGTCTGGTTCGGAGAGGAAATGAACGGAGGATTCCATGTAAGATCTGCAACCTGTTTTAGTTTTCTTAGCTTGTAAAATATTGATATTTTACAATATTAAGTTATGGCACAAATGAATGTTTTGCATGGCAAAAAGTTCAGATTTAGAAAGTCAAACTTAAAGTGAAAATATCTTTCAAACAGAAAGATATGCTGTCTAAAGCTAAAAAAAAAAGCAACAAGTAAAAATATTTTTGTTGCTCTACATTTATACATGCTCCACTGCTACAAAATATACATAAGTGTGACTCAAATGTGTTGGCAATGTCCTAACAAGATCCAAATCCAACTCTATTTTATTTATAAAGCACAATTAATAAAACCATTAATTACCAGAATATGGTACCATATTCTGTTGAACCAGAATATGGTATTGCACTGAAACAGATAAAAACAAGACATAGACAATATTAATGGAATGGCATTAACTATTGCTATTAACGATAAACTATCCTGAACATTCATTCGCACACATTTTCTCAATATAAAAATAAAATGAAAGAAAATAGTTCTCAGACATTGGAAACATTGAAAAGCACTTCCTAAGTAAACTTTACTTACTTACTCAAAGAGCTAACTTGGAAACTTTGTTGCTTTATTTAGTGACTCGTTTGACCCCTCTTGAAAAAGTGCCAACCAGCAAATTTGGCAAATTTTTCTTGTGTTAGTCGCAACTTTTAGAGAGCCTGGTGTAAAAGCATGCATCATTCTTACTCAAGGAGCAGTGGGTGATCTAGAGGGCCCCAAAGCACTTACAGACATCAAAGTCTTCACACATGAATGCCTCCCAGCTGCAATCAGAGCAGGAGATGTTCAACCTCCTGTGTCCAGACTGAGAAAGAGTTATGTATTTGTGTTGTTTACTTTTTACCAGACAAAAATCCCAAAGTGCTTTAGAATGAAACATATACCACACAATAAGACAAACATTTCACAAAAACTACATTGGTTTCAATATGACTACTCTTTTCTCCTACAAAATCGATTACATTATTTAGCTATTTCTAGCTTGTGCAAGGCTTAAAGATCAAAGGCAACTTTTTTTAAGCGTGTTGATAGTGAATTTTTAAAAAGGTAACGTCCCAACAAAAATGTAATACCTTCATCCTGACAAAGGTTCTTCATCCTTCATCCCAGGACACTCACAGCATACAAAACGGCTACAAACCAAACATGACACACACAATTTAGAGTCACTGCAGGACACTGATAGCTAAATAGCATGGGGTTTTCAATATGTAACACAGATGCCAAGACATGAAACAGCAGCTTTTGTTCAGTTACAAGAAATATGTTGTAAAATTCAGAAAGTGAATATAGGAATCTTGCTGTGAAATATAAAAAATATATATATATTTCTGTGACGAATACGATATATTTTTAGATTTGGAATACTTGGAATCAAACATTCAAAGCATTAGCTCATTTAAAAACACTAGATGAAGCACCAGGAACATAACCTGATGTGTTATTGTCTGTCCAATGCAGTTCAGTTACGGTGACGACAGCCTGGCACCCAACACCGCCTCCATTCAGATGACTTTCCTGAGGTTGCTGTCAACAGAGGTTTCCCAAAATCTCACTTACCACTGTAAGAACAGCGTGGCCTACCTGGATGCTTCACTAGGCAACATGAAGAAGGCCGTCCTGCTGCAAGGCTCCAACGATGTGGAGATCAGAGCCGAGGGCAACAGCCGCTTCACCTACAGCGTCATGGAAGACGGCTGTGCGGTATGTGGTCCTGCTAGTACAATATTTGTACTCTCTAGGGGGCAAACCAAATGCTAACATTTTTCTGTATGGCTTTTTTTCCCCTCCTGCAGAGACACACAGGACAGTGGGGTAAGACAGTTTTCGAATACAGGTCGCAGAAAACCTCCCGTCTGCCCATCGTGGACATTGCCCCCATGGATATCGGTGGAGCAGACCAGGAGTTTGGAGTTGATATTGGGCCAGTTTGCTTCTTGTAAAGAATGAGCAGCTGCGAAGAGGAGGAAGAAAAAGCGGCTGTTTGAAAAAAAAAAAAGTAAAATAGGAAACGAAAGAGGAGCACGCGTTGGTGAAAAGGCGAGGAAGAGAGAAAAAGAAAAATCAAGACACTTTTTTAAAACATGGGACTTCTTTTCTAAATAAAAAAGTGCTTTTCCAAGTTGAACTCGGTAGGATATCTGCACTGAATGGCACCAACAAACTGTCATTTATGATCCATCCGCAGCATTGCCTTCAGTCATCTCTGCCCCACCCCCCATGGACACCCTCCTCTCCCTAAACCCTCCCTTTTTCACTCTTTGTGAACAGCAGCCCCACCGCCCCCCTCACACACACACACACACATACCCAATATCTATGAACAAAAACGAGGAAGTATGAGGAGAGAATAGGAGCTTACCAGGGAACAAGAGAAAACAATGTGTTGGTGTTATTTATTTATTGTTTAGGTTAGACTCCCAGGTGTGGTAGGACTGAGTTTGTTGCAAAGTGATAAAAAAAATATATATATATATTTTAAAGAAAAAGAAGCCTCATCCGCCAACTTCCTCCTGTTTTATGATCATCCCATTATTCTTGTCACAAACAAAGAATTTATTGTTCTTTGAAACCAAAAATATTTCAGCATACCATAGAATGTGCAGTTGTTCCTGTTTCTCCAACCACAGTGTGTATCAAAATTACTGTGTACTATAATAAAATCAATGGTGCTATTGTTGTAAAACAGTTTTGTGTTTTTAAGCAACCTGATACTTTGATATAGTGACTTGTATGTATATACATACATACATAGAGAGAAAGAGAGAGAGAGCGTTCCTTAGAGACCCTTTCGTTCTGGGATTTTGGATTTCACTGTGATTTATGACCGTTCTTACATGAGCAAACATGACTGATAGAGTTTTGTAATCAATTTAGTTAGGAACAAATTTATTTTTATTTTTCAAACATTTGATTTGGCTTCTTAAAACTACCTCACAGTAAAACAAATCTAAACTTTCACAGTTTACACATATCATTTCAAATCGAGATAGGTATATTTGGTTATATAATAATCTCTGCTGCCCTTCATCCAGTGTGACCTGCGTCCCCTCCTGCCCCTCACACACCACACACCCTCTGCTTCCACGTAGAAACACACTGAGTGTACTTCACTAATGTTCCAGTTTCAACTCCAGCACAGAGGGTTCAAATGTGTGAGGTTGTGTATATTTTTTATTATTAATAATAGAACTATTAATAATAATAATAATAATAATAATTAATAATAATAATAATAATAATAATAGCATTATTATTATTATTATTATTATTATTATTATTATTATTATTATTATTATTTTATTACTATGACCATGACTTGTTTTTGTTAAGTTTTAATTAATGTAAATTGGAAATAAACGACAAAAAACAAGTAACAGACTGAAGTTGAGTTTTATTGAATTTCCTGTTAACGTACAGTCAAAAATATTCACACCCCAGGAGTATTTAGTTAAATGGGAATCATTTAAATTGATCAACATGTTCTTCTAACTGGAAGTAATAATGTTTTAAATCTGATAAAAAATGTGTGCCAAAAGCTAAACATTAGGGTGATGGCACTGAGATCTTCCAACCTCAATCATCTGGAATGTATTGCAAAACAATTAGTGGGGAAAAATACCAAAGTAAACATGAAAAGTGCTGTCAGTAGTTGCAAGAACTGTTTTATTGCTTAAACTCAAGAAAGGTTTTTCTTTTCAGCTTTTAAGTCGTTTCCTTCTATCACTTTTATGTATTCTTTATATCCTTTTATGTACCCCAATTTTCAATAATTTGTTTTTATACTTTTAACGCATCCATCCAACTTAAATCAGACATCTAGAAATCCAACTTATGCTTCCCAGAATCTGTTAGAGGGAGATACGTTTGATAACATTAGATGTTTAATTATGGGGGGAATTCCTCCATCGTTAATCAGCTGATAATACTCTGTTACTTTAGTAATTCAAATCAATTTAGTTTATTTATATGGCATCAATTCACAACAAATATCTTAAGGCACTTTACCAAAACAAAATTCATTTCAGTTCAATCACACAGTTGGTCCCAGTTATCAAACAGGCTTAGTTAATTATTCAAAGTAGGTTAAAATGTTTCTAATTTAAGTGTTTTTTTTTGTATGTTTGTTTATTTTATGTTTAGTTTCTTTAATTTGCTCCGTAATGAGATATATATATATATATATATATATATATATATATATATATATATATATATATATATATATCATCACAGCATGATGCTGCATCGACTGTGTTTCACTGCAGGATGATTATATACAGAGTTTTTTTAGCACATTTATCTGATAATAAAATACACTAACGTCAAATGCCTTCAGATGTCACTGACTAGTAGCATCAAGACGGCCAAAAACACACCAAGTTAAATAGCCAAGAGTCTGAAGGTATCTCCAGAGAAACAGCAAACAGCTACCAGTCAGGTGGGTTATGTCACATCGACCCTTCATGAAAGAGTAGTCAAAGAAGACTCATTTCAATTTGCCTCAAGCTGTGAACACAATAAACATGTGGAAGAAGTTGGTCCAGTTAAGATGAGAGCAAAATTGAACGCTACGTGTGTAAAACTGAACATCACCCCACCTCCCCCACAGCAACACATGGTGATGGAACCATCATTCTATGTGGATGTTTTTCTTGAACAAGGGCCAAATACAAGGCTACCCTGAAAGAAAGTTTGTTGGAGGCTGCGAAAAACTGGAGACACATTACGTTACATTTTCAGCAGGAAAACCACCAGACAGGGCCAAACTGAGGTGGTTTAGATTTAAGCATATTAATGTAATAGTTAAAACTTGAACATACATCTAATACATCTTAATACCCTTTCAAATTTTTGCCAAAAATGCATAATTTTCTTCCGTTTCCCAATTAAGCACACCTTTGTATTTGTCTATCACAAAAAGCTCTACAAAATAAAAGCGTGTGACTTCTTTTGCAAGGCACTGCAAAAGTTTATTTAGATTTGAATCATTTGTTGTCAGGAAACAATAAAGGAAAGCAATGATTCAAACAAAACATCAACATAAATAAACGAAATCCCACAGTTAAAGACTATAACAGGTAGACATATTTAGATTTTGAGGTTTGGCTTGTCAGAATCATCAGCAAGCAAAAGTTGGTCCAAGGCTTACGCAATACAAAATGTGCATTGAAGGATACAGAAATATGTTGCATGAAATTTAGATGAATGATTTATGACAAACGGTAAACACCCACATTGCTACACACCCTTGTTTTTTAAAGGTCAGAGTTGTCCAACCTTATCTCCCTTTTAGCCTTTGGTTTACCAACGTGATAACGACTGACTCTAATTCAAAGAGTAGACACAATGCAGCCAGCCTTTCTCTGTGGGTTACAACACATGCACACCACATTTAGCACATCACAGTTCACAGGTAGGTGACCTATTCTAAGTTCTGCTTCTGCACCTAAAACGTGCCGTTTGTCTGATAAAATCCAGGTACAGTTATAACAGTCTGATCATGAATTTGTACACAATTGTTTACATATTAAGCATAAATCAGTCCATTCAGTTCCCTATCAATTCTCTATTTTCACAAAGTAAGAAAAAATGTAACAAATTTATGGAAACATTGACCGAAGTAAAGCAGATATAATTTTCAAGATGAACAACTGATTTGTTTTGTTTGACACTAATTTAATAAAACAAATGTATGGCTTCAGTTGCATCCTATTATTTCTGCAACACAAAAAAATTTAATTATTATGTAAGCTACATCTAGTAATAACATCATACACAAGACATGGGTTGGAATGAGATTCTCAGGTGTCAAATTCAGAGGGCTGGTTTCCTGCGACTCTTTGATGTGTCTCT